AAATAAAAAATTTAAAAATTTTGAAAAAACAAAAACTAGCCAAGGTCACCTCCTTGGTTTCTGGGTGAAAGCACATGCTTCAGGGGCACATTGACAAGGTCTATAGTCCCTGCTCTCTGCCCCTTGCTGAGCCAATCTCCCTAGCCTCAGTTTCCCTGTATGTCAGATGGGCATGACGACGTGCAGATCACTTCAGAGGGTGCATAACAATAGCAGCACACACAAACTCCCCTGTGCCAGGCGTCGCCCATTCATCCTCCCAGCAGCGCTGTGAAGTGGGCTATTATCTTACCTAAGGTTATACGGCTAGTGAGTGACAGGGCAGATATTTGGGTCCAGGCAGGCTGGCTTCATTGTCTGTGCTAAGTGCCACAGTATGAACTCCTGCCATATACAGGAAGGCTGGGGTCACCCTAGGTTCCACTGTTCCTACTGTAAGATCAGCGCAGGGTGGATGTGGAGCCGCCGTGCTATTCAAAGTGACTCCAGCCTCCTCACACTAATGGTGCCAGCACCAGGCCAGGCCTGAGGTGGCTGCTCCACCTCTTCCTAGACTGCAGGACCCCATCTGAGGGAGGAAACCTAAGACCAGCCAGACCAGGGTGCTACCAGTATCCCTTGGAATCCCTGGAGCTGAATGGGAGAGCAGGCCAGGCAGTGGTAAGGGGCTCCTCTCAAAGCTGGGACTACCAGGCTGAGGACCATAGATTCATCTGCAGAGCCCTGGATGGGCCTGGCCTGGGAGCAGAGCCATGACATGAGGCTTCATGAGTGCTATAAGAAGAGCTGGGGGGCTCCCCAATACCAACAGATCCAAGCCTCCTGTACAGATGGGGAAACTGAGGCCCAGAGAGGTAAGGGGTCCTATCCAGGTCACACAACCAGTCCATGCTGGCACTGGGAGAATGGGAGAGGATCCAGTGCTCCCATGGCTTATGTCCCAACCTGGCTCCCAGAGCTGCACAGATGCATCTACAGGAGGGACCCTGCGTGTGTGTGTGTGTGTGTGTGTGTGTGTGTGTGTGTGTGCTCGTGTGCATGACAGCAAAGCCAAGAGCAGGCACCCACAAGGTGCTAATGATGCCCACCCCACCTTATCCTAATCCCTCCCTTCCTTCCTTCCTGCCTTCCTTCCTTCCTTCATTCTTTCCTTCCTTCCTTCCTTCATTCTTTCCTTCCTTCCTTCCTTCGTGGGGCAGGACCTGCCTTTCTTCTCCAGAGACTTCCCTCACCTCTGCCCCAACCCTTGTTCTCATCTCTCCTCAGTGCCTGGCCTCGGTCCACCCACCATCCCCCTTAATTCTCTGACTTCATCTTTTCCCCTTTCCTCTTTCCATTTCAGCACAGTGGCCCCTCCAGCTCCCACCCAGGGAAGTGGCTGTTGTTCCTCCCACCTGGCATGTTCTTTCCCCAAGTGTCCACCTCGCTCACTCTGTCACTTCTTCAGGTCTTTACTCAAGTCACCTTCTCAGAGGCCATCTGCTCTTTACCCCTCCCCACACTTTCTATACACTGGTCCTGCTTTTTTTCCATAGCATCTATAACACACCATATATTTTACATAGAACGTTAGCTCCATGAGGACCAGGACTACTATCTTCCTTATGCCCAGTTTCCTCAGTGCTGGCAGGGTGACTGGCACATTGGAGGCTGTCAACTGGAATCTGCCAAGAGAATGGAAAGGCTTGCTCTGCGACGGGTCAGGGCTTATCTGAGCCTGACCTTGGGACCAGAACCTGCAAGGTGTTAGGGGTAGCATGCCTAGGGCAAGCCTGTGGCAGAGCAGTGGACAGCAGGTGGGGGCTCTGTCCAGGGCCGCCCTGCCTCCAGGGCTCCTCCCAGGGACAGGAGGATGCCCAGAGGCCGAAGTGTTCATGGAGAGGCAGAGGAGGGGAGGAACCAGAACCCTGGGCCTCATAAATGCCTCTCTCAGCTGTAACTGAGGCCCTGGGACCATGCTGCTCTGGAATGCCAAGAATGAGAAAGGCTCGCAGGGCCGCTGAGGGTGAGAGAGGGGAACGGGCTTGCAGAGGGTCACAGCAGAAGGTCACTGTACAGTTGGGAACTTCCAGCTGTGGGCCCTTCCCTGGTCAATCCCAGCCAGGGTTCCCCTGATTCAGCTCCTCCCACCATGGGACATCAGACACACTCATCGTCCCTGGATTTCCTGTGATCTCACCAGGCTCCCCACCTGTTACCCCTCCCCTCTACCCTGTTCTCACATTACAGCTATTCCTTCTTTGTCTTTATTTAAATATATCATACATACAAACAATACATGTCACATTTATGTTACCAAGCACAATCATATAATAAACCCACAAATGTATGTCAACCCCAGAACTAGAAAATTATTAATAGCTTGCACTACTCCTGTGCTCCTCCCCATCTGCCTGTAGGAATCATTTCTTTTACTAAAATAGTCAGCCTTCTCAGTAGCGGATTACAGATACCCAATCACACCCAGCTAATTTATATATTTTTAGTAGAGAGAGGGTTTCACCATGTTGCCCAGGCTGGTCTGGAACTCCTGATCACAGGTGATCTGCCCACCTCACCTTCCCAAAGTGCCGGGATTACAGACGTGAGCCACCACACCCAGCTACTGTATTACTTTTTATGCCTCTAGAATTTTTCCGTGTTGTTGCAGGTGTCTGTTGTGCCTTAATTTTAGCTATTGTATTCTGTTATTTGCACTTGCACAGCAGTGTATGTATCTGTCCCTCTGTGGATGGACATCTGGGTTGTGTCCAGTGTCTCTCGACCACCCTACCTTGTGCCATGCTTCCTGACCCTCCTGTCATTATTCCACACTCTAGCTATGTCCGCAAAGTCATGACTTCATGAATCCCTGTCTTCAATTTCTGAGCTCCAGACCATATAAAAGACATAACTGTGTTTATTGAGCCAGAAATGAATCTCAACATTTTACATGTGGTAGCGCATTTAATATTCACAGCAATACAAGTGATAGGTAATATTCTTATCGCCATATTACAAATGAGAAGGCCAAGGCCCGGAAGGGTTAAATATTTGCTCAAGATCACACACCTTTTCCCACGCCCCCTTCCAAGTCCCATCAGCAACTCAAACTCAGCACGTCCGTGATGTAACCTATCATCTTCCTCCAAACCATTTCCTCACTTTGTGCCCTACTCTCAGTAGGGTCATCTCCAATCCCCAGGCCCAAGCTGGAAACTGGAAGCCATCTCTGACTCCTCCCTCTCCCTCACCCACTCCATCCAGAGCCCAAATCCGGCACATTGTACCTCTTGGGTATTGATCAATCCCGTCTCTCGTCTCCATGCCCACAGTGCTGACCCATTAGGTGCCCAGCTGCTGCTCTTGGGTCATCGCTTCCCACCACTGTCTTTGCAGGCCCATCTCCACCATTTCCAGCATCGTACACACTGCGGCTCAAGTGCACTTTCTTTTTTTTTAAATTTAATTTAATTTTTATTTTTTTCCTTCAAGACTACTGCAAATCAAGTGCACTTTCTAAACCTCACTGTGTCCCCCACCTCCAGAAGGAAGCCCAGTCTCCTCTGCCCATCTCCTCAAACTGTAAAGTGCAGCTCTCAGCCCCAGAAAGGACAACCCCTACCACATCCTGCTCTGTCTCCTCCTCTGGGAAGCCTCCAAGCCTCCCACTCTGCACTCACTTTCTTCTTCATAATTACCTGTCCCCCATTAAACTGCAACCATCTGCAACCAAAGGCAGAGCCCAGTGCCTCCACTGGGCATCCCCAGTGTCCAGACAGGGCCTGCACGCAGTAGGTGCACAATAATTGTTGAAAGGAAAAATGCATAGCAATGACAGGAACCATGGGCCCCAGGCAACAGAGTGATTCTTACCTGACCCCAGGCTCCGCAGATCCTGGCCCCCTACCCAACCCGGCCTCTGCACCTGCTTCCCTGGAGCCCTTGGAGCCCTATGAGGCCTCTTCCTGTGTCTTCATGTGTTTGAAGAATTTCCCTCTTTGCATTTTCCTTACAACTGTGGGATTCCTTCATGTAGGAGCACTCTGGCACCAGGAAGAAGAAAGCCTTCAATCTATAGCAAGCATTCTCAAGGGAATTAAAACTGATTCTTTTTTTTTTTTTTTTTTTTTTTTTGAGACAGAATTTCGCTCCTATGGCCCAGGCTGGAGTGCAATGGCTCGGTCTTGGCTCACTGCAACCTCCACCTCTCCGGTTCAAGCAATTCTCTTGTCTCAGCCTCCCGAGTAGCTGGGATTACAGATGCCCACTACCATGCCTGGCTAATTTTTTGTGTTTCTAGTAGAGATGGGGTTTCACCATGTTGGCCAGGCTGGTCTCAAACTTCTGACCTAAGGTGATCCAGTTGCATCAGCCTCCCAAAGTGCTGGGGTTATAGGTGTGAGCCACCATGCCCAGCCTAAAACTGATTCTTAAAAGGGGAGGTGAAAAAAAATCTTACTCTTTTTTATGTACAAAGTAGAGAACATATACAGTACATAAACAGATATATAGTATACCTGTGGTATTAAAATTTCATGTGATTAAGAAAAAAATATCTAAAAGGCGTCTGCAGAAGGCACTAATGGAAAAAAAAGGCTAAGAAATTCTGATCTACATTCTTGGGCCTTGCCTTGTCTAGTCCAAGAACTGGCCAGAACTCGGGGAAGGGAAGACCCAGGGGAGAGTCGAGTCCAATCCCAGGATCCCCTCAAAGTATCTCCAAAGCCGGTCCCCCATCAGCCAGCCAGCTATGGTTCTTTCCCTGAAACCACCCTTCCTTCCCCCGTGCCTGAAAATCCCTCATTCTGTTTCTGTCCTTCTCTCATCTCACCCCGTTCCTACTGAGGGCGCAGTTCAGCTCTTCCCTGCTCTCTCCCCTGGGCATCCCAGTTCCCAGGATGTGAAAGACTCGAGGTGCCTCACCTCTACACCTTGGGCTAAGGCATAGCCCTAGAGCTCCTGGAAGAACCCAGGAGGGGAACCCAACCACAGGAGGTCCCCAGGAAGTGGGGTTCTGCTGTGGGATAAGACTTGCTTTATTGGGGTGAGGGTGGAATCACAAAGAATCTCTACTTAGAAGTGTTCTTGGGCCATGGATTCCTGTAAGGTGGGGGCCAGGCGGACTGCAGGTCTGTTGTCAGGGCTCACGGAGACAGGGGTGAGGGGAGAGGCCATGGATGCATGAGGTTCCATCTTGGATAATACGGTTATCCTGTGATCTTCATACGCCACAGAGTCCTCCACTTTTGGGGGCTCCCGTGGGATGGTGGAGCCAATGAAGACCACATAGATGATGCCACCTAGATAGGCACCCAGAGGTGGCGCCACCACTGGCACCCACCACCAGTTCTCCCCATCGCTGCAGGCAAGAGGCAGAGGCCTGCTGAGGGGGGCTGATGTCCAGGACAGCACCCTCATCCACCTCAGGCCAAGACAAGGTAAGCAGAGGAGTCATCCCCAGTATACCCCAGGAGACACCTCAGCCTGGAGCCCTGGTTGGCCTCAGCTCGATTCAGGGAGAGGGTTGACACTCAGTACAAGTGCAGGATCTGTATCCGTACTGCTCTGGGGGAATGTTGGGACTCATTCCTGCTCCCCAGGCCACCACGGGGCTCTGCAGGACCCTCCTATGCTGCCCCTCACATCACCACCACACCTCCTCAACATGCAGGGGACCCACAGAAAAACTCAAAAGAATGGGCCTAGGCAGGGGCTGTACCTGAAGACCTGTTTGCCCCAGCCGGCAATGAAGGTGAAGATACGGGGGGGCAGGTCCCGGGATGGGTTGATGGCATATCCTGTGTTCATGCCAAGGGACATCCCGATGGTGACCACAAGTATGCCTATCACCAGCGCCTGTGTGCCCGGCAGTGCTGGGTTGTTCTCCTGGTCCGTGATGGCGAAGAGACACAGCTGGAGCATCCCAGTCAGCCACACCTGAGGAACAGATGATGTGGCAGCTCACCAGGGCCCCTCCCCAAGCCACAGGGCCTCGGCAGTGCCCCAGATCCAAGCCCTCTAGCAGAGACACATCTCTGTACAATCTCCATCCAGAGTTCTTGACCTGTCTATCAGGAGGGGCTCCCTGCTGGCTCCATCCTGAGGGGTGGAGGGTAGGGGGAGGGGTACTCATCCTGGACCACTGACCTCATTCAGGAAGCCCCACCACAATGTCATGTAATCAGGAAGGTAGGTGGCAAAAATGCCAGCCGTCGCTACGGGTCCGGTCACCATCAGCTGTCCACCCGAAAAGTGTAGAATGGCCGCTGCGGAGACACAGACTGTCCTGTGAACCTGCCCCAGTGAAGCCCCACAGGGTCCCAGAAATTAGGTTATAGGTTAGAGGGTGGAAGAGCTCCAAGGCTTTTTTCTCCCAGCTAGTTTTTTACAAACCAGGACACTGAGGTCCGATCTGCCCTAATTTTAGAGGAGGCGACTGAGGCCAGAGGCGGACACCCAGGCAGTGCACTCACTGTAGAAGAGGGCGTAGATGGTGGCAGCCGCCAGGAAGGAGCCGAGGCACTGACCCAGCACGTAGACCGGAAACTTCCTCCAGGGCAGGCGGCCCAGTGCGCAGTTAGCGAAGGTCACAGCTGCATTCATGTGGGCCCCTGCGGGCAGGACCAAGTGTGTCAGGGAGTGAGAGAAAAACAAACAACAACTACAACTGTACTGAGAACAGCGATGGCTGGTGTGCACAGAGAGCATGCTCCTGACAGCTCTCTCATTGACCCTCACAACCACCCCGTGGGGCTGGAGCCACAGCCTGTGTGTCACTGTTAAGAAGACTGAGGAACAGAGAAGGCAATGACTTGCCTAAGAGGACCCAGCCAGTGAAAATGACAGGTCACGGGGGCCCAGGAAGAATCTGGGGCAGACACATCCTAGATGAGGGGTTGGGAGGAGGCCTCCTCCCTCCCGGTGGCCAGGCGGAGAGGCACTGGCTGTGCCGGAGAAGGGGCTGGCTGGGGCGGACAGGAAAGAGCCTGTGGGGGGACAGCTGGCCTTGCCCAGTCTGGCAGGGCCTGGGCTTACTCACCAGAGATGTTGCCTGCCACATGCACTCCCATGGTGACACCGAAGCCAAAAGCCAAGTTGACAGCAAGGTAGCTCCCATGTGTTTTACTTAGAACCATATGGGCCACGGAACCAAGGCCAAACACCTACAAGGGAGGGCCACTAAGGGGGCGGCCTACCCCGGAGCCCCAACCTCAGACGAGGGCTCAGAGCCCAGTTCTAGCTCCTCACCCCCATGCCCTGGGCCTTCCTGCCATTGCCCGCGAAGACCTTCTGCCATGCCCTCTTTCTCCAGAGCCTTCCTTCTCACCACCTCCTCTCCTTGCCCCTGCTGAGAGGCCTCTCAGACCGGAGCCCCTGAGAGCCGGGTGGAGCAGCAGAATCAGAGGCTCTTAGACACACGTCCAAGCACCTCAGCCCCAGGCCCACCTGAAGTTTGGGGGTGAGGCAGGGCTGTGAGGAGGGGATGGCTGGCATGGATGGCATGTCCTCAGAGTCCCTCACGCTTCAGGCCTGCCTGAAGGAAGTTTCTTCACGGGCCCTCCAAATCTGTCCATCCCTGCACGAGCGTGCGCGCGCGCACACACACACACACACACACCCTCCAGCCGACCCCCTGCAATGCTGGAGCAGTGGGGTACTAACTCTCCTGCCCTCAGCTTCATTTCCATGGACCTCAGGTGGCTCTCCCAAGCCACTGCTTCTTGCCCATCCCTCACAGCTCCTCAGATGATGCCGCCTTCACAGGGGGAAGGGGCCAAACTTCAGGCCCATTAGCTTCAGTCCAGAGCCACTGTCCCCTTCAGCCCTGCCTCCTGTGCCATCCTCTCCCTCTGAAGGGGCCTCCATCACCCCTGTACCTTCCATCCTCCCACTGACTGGCTCCCTCAGACTGGAGTCTCATCCTTCCCAGCGAACCATCCTGCCCCTGCCCAGCCTCCCTCTCCAACTGTGGGCTCCTGGTCACCCTGTCCCTGCTTCAGTCAGACTGCAGGAGAGAACACACTGGCCAACTGCTTCACCCCTGCTGGGATTACAGGCTTGAGCCACCGTGCCTGGCTATTTATTTATTTTTTAAAGACAGGGTTTCACCATGTTGGCCAGGCTGGTCTTTTTTTTTTTTTTGAGACGGAGTTTATAGCTCTTGATACTCAGGCTAGAGTGCAATGGCGCAATCTTGGCTCACTGCAACCTCCGCCTCCTGAGTTCAAGCAATTCTCCTGCCTCAGCCTCCTGAGTAGCTGGGATTACAGGCACGCACCACCATGCCCAGCTAATTTTTTGTATTTTTAGTAGAGACGGGGTTTCACCATGTTGACCAGGATGGTCTCGATCTCTTAACCTCTTGATCCACCCACCTCGGCCTCCCAAAGTGCTGGGATTACAGGCGTGACCCACCGCGCCTGGCATAATAACCATTTATTGAGCACTGACTACATGCCAGTGAGTTATACTGACCATCTCCTTTAACCCTGACACCAATCAGATGAGTTAGGTGCTATTATTCTCCCCCACTTGACAGACAGTAACCTGAAGCTTAGAGAACTTGAATGGCTTGTCCAAAGTCACACAGCCTGTACCTGGTGAGCCAGGATTAAATCCAGGCACTTACCTATGCCAGACGGCCTCAAAGCAAACAACTGCACTGCTCCAGGAATGCCTTGCTTTCTAGTGCTTCTGTTTTATTTGTCTGATTTTTGAGATAAGATTTCGCTCTATTACCCAGGCTGGATGGAGTGCAGTGCCATGATCAGGGCTCATTGCAGCCTCCTGGGCTCAAGTTATCCTCTCACTTCAGCCTCCCAAGTAATTGGGACTATGGGCATGTGCCATGGCACCCAGCTAAATTTTTTTTTTTTTTTTTTTGAGACAGAGTCTCGTTCTGTCGCCTAAGCTGGGGTGTAGTGGTGCGATCTCGGCTCACTGCAACCTTCACCTCCTGCCTGGGTGACAGAGTGAGACTCCATCTCAAAAAAAAAAATCCCACATGATTTCCTGTGTCAGGGTTGCCAACTGGCATCCCATGCCCTAATTCATCCAGCACACAGGTTTTGTTTGGATCACTTGGTTTTGCAGAACAGGAGTTTCTATCTCTCTTGAAAAATGAGAAGCTCAGGCAACACTGGCCTGCATTCCACCCTCCATGGCAACAGTCAGCTGGCATGGCAGCAGCTCCAGCCTTACACAGATTGGCACTCTGCAGTCAGCCAAAGTCCCTCCCGCCCTGCGTTGCGACTCTCTTGGCCCTGTAGCATGTGATCTGCAACCCTTGCCCCATGGCTCACATGTATGGCTGGTTTTCAGGGCCTGGATGGTTCCAGCCCCGCCTCTCCCTGGTCAGTGAACATGGCCCAGCCCATCCAAGTCTCCCAGACAGCCAGGAGGCCAGCTCCAAGGGCAACGCCCTTGGAATTTGCAACGTGAATCCATCCACTTCCCCCATCCTGGCTGCAATAAATGGGAGCCAAGGTCACACTGGCTTTTTTGGGAAAATCTTCACCCTGGTGTCTCACAGAGATTCCTATTAAAGCCCCCACTTCTTGGCACAGCCTGGCAACTAAAAATAACAACAACACAATGTCCCATATAGGCTTACACCTCACAAAGTTCTTTTACGAGTGTTATTGTCTTCAATCCTCACAGCAAATCTGCACAGCAAAAATTTTTCTCCCACTGTATAGATGGGGAAACTGAGGCCCAGAGAGGAGTATTGAACTACCTGAAAGTGATTACCTTACCCCCATCTGGGGGAGCATTAACAAGCCAGAGTCTTTAAAAGCCAGCTATATTTAAGCTAAAGGACAGAGCATAGAGGTTAAGGGTCAAGAATGTGATATTAGGCCCGGCAAGTGACTCATGCCTGTAATCCAGGACTTTGCAAAGCTGAGGTGGGAGGATCACTTGAGGTCAGGACTTCAAGACCAGCCTTGGCAACATGATGAAATCTCGTCTCTCCTAAAAATACAAAAATTGGGCTAGGTGTGATGGCTCACACCAATAATCCCAGCACTTTGGGAGGCCAAGGTGGGCAGATTATCTGAAGTTAGGAGTTCAAGACCTGCCTGGCAAACATGGTGAAACCCCACCTCTAGTAAAAATAAAAAATTAGCCAGGCATGGTGATGGGTGCCTGTAATCCCAGCTACCTGGCAGGCTGAGGCAGGAGAATTGCTTGAACATGGGAGGCAGAGGTTACAGTGAGCTGAGATCACGCCATTGCACTCTAACCTGGGCTGACAGAGCAAGACTGCATCTCAAAAAACAAACCAAAAAAATGGCTGGGCATGGTGGCACACAACTGTAATTCTAGCTACTCTGGAGGCTGAGGCACAAGAATTGCTTGAACCCAGGAGGTGGAGGTTGCAGTGACCTGAGATTGTACCACTGCACTCCAGCCTGGGTGACAGAGGGAGACTCCAACTCAAAAAAAAAGACTGTGATACTAGACTGGACTGGATTTAATCTTGACTTAAAGTGTGACCTTGGGCAAGAGGCTTAGTCTCATGGAAACTCAGTTTTCCCATCTGTGAAACTGGGATGATAGTACTTACTTCACAGGGCTATTTCAAAGATTTGGGAAGATGCAACATGTAAAGGGCTTAGCATCACAAGTGCCCGGGATGCGTAGGTGCTCAATAAAAATCTCAATAAAAGGAAGAGAAACACAGATGTGGGCAGGTATCAAGCATGTGGGTGGTGCCTGCTTTTCCTAACAGCTCTGGGAGAACAAACCCTCCTGCCTCCCAGGTTCCAAGATTTAACAGCCCTCATGGGGCTGGAATGTCTTGTCGTAAGTGAATTACTTTGCCCTAGATTAAGGCGGGACAGGATCCAACTGCTGTCCTCACAGCTCAGGAGCCAAAGCAGGTGGGGAGGTAAGAGAGGAGCAGGGGAGGGCCAGATACAGAGAGGAGAGAGCAGCTGAGAGCACCTGTCCTAATAGCCAGGGATCAACACGTGGGTACCACATCTGTACTTGTGCTGGCACTTGAGCTTCTTCACACAAGTCCTCCAGCTTTATGTCAGTGTTCCTGTTGACCAATAAGGGAGCTAGAGTGATGGGCCAGGTGTGGTGACTCATGCCAGTAATCCCAGCACTTTGGGAGGCCAATGTGGGCAGGTAACCTGAGTTTAGGAGTTTGAGATCAGACTGGCCGACATGGTGAAACCCCATCTCTACTAAAAATACAAAAATTAGCTGAGCACAGTGGCACATGCCTGTAGTCCCAGCTACTCAGGAGGCTGAGGCAAGAGAGTCACTTAAGCATGGGAGGTGGAGGTTGCAGTGAGCCAAGATTGTGCCATTGCATTCCAGCCTGGGAAACAGAGTAGAGCACCTGTCTCTAAAAACAAGAAAGCTAAATTTGTTAACAGTTAAGATACTTGTGGATGGTCAAACAGCTAGAAGATAACAGAGCCAGGATTCAAATCCCACAAAGGCCTGATTCCGTACAATATAAGTGAGAAGTCAGGCTTTAAGCCAGGGGGAGATCTGCCCAAGGCCAACTGGTGACTCAGTGGCAGGGTCAGGCCAAGAACCCTGGTGTCCCGATTCCATCTCTCCCTTGAGCTCCATGGGGGCCCTACCATCTCCTGCACTGTGGCTCAGTGCACATATGCACGCACACACACACACATACACACATACACAGCTGCAGTTAACTAATAATCATAACCACACACACAAACAGCCTCTCTCACCCCACATTCCTCTGGCATGCACCTGGCTGCCTTTTCTTCCCTTTCTGGAGACTGCCCCTTCTTTTTTTCTGGACCCTGGACCCTGTATAAGATGCAATAAGCATGGCTACAGTCATGTTAAGGGCTGAGGCCCACTAGCGTAAGTGGCAGGGCTGAAGCAGGTGGAGAGGGAGCAACCTCACACCTGCCTGCAGTCTGGATGTGCAGACTTCTGAACAAGAGCCCCTAGGCCAGGCGCAGTGGCTCACTCCTGTAATCCCAGCACTTTGGGAGGCCAAGGTGGGCAGATCACCTGAGATCGGGAGTTTGAGACCAGTCTGGCCATCATGGAGAAACCCCGGCTCTACTAAAAATACAAATTAACCAGGTATGGCGGTGCAAGCCTGTAATCCCAGCTACTCAGGAGGCTGAGGCAGAATTGCTTGAACCTGGGAGGCAGAGGTTTCAGTGAGCCCATATCATGCCATTGCACTCCAGCCTAGGCAACAAGAGCAAAACTCTGTCTCGAAAAAAAAGAAGAGCCCTGGCCGGGCGCGGTGGCTCAAGCCTGTAATCCCAGCACTTTGGGAGGCCGAGGCGGGTGGATCACGAGGTCGAGAGATCGAGACCATCCTGGTCAACATGGTGAAACCCCGTCTATACTAAAAATACAAAAAATTAGCTGGGCATGGTGGCACATGCCTGTAATCCCAGCTACTCAGGAGGCTGAGGCAGGAGAATTGCCTGAACCCAGGAGGCGGAGGTTGCGGTGAGCCGAGATCACGCCATTGCACTCCAGCCTGGGTAACAAGAGCGAAAACTCCGTCTCAAAAAAAAAAAAAAAAAAGAAGAGCCCTTGTCAAGGTTACCAGCAACCTCCACGTTGCCAAACTCTGGGGTCTCTTGCCAATGCTCACCTTGCATGGACCATCTGCAGCTGCCCACACCACTGACGGCTTCTTCCTGGTGGAACCACTGCCCCCTCTATGACGCAGTCCCCTCTGGTCCTCCTCCCGCCCCTCTGACCATTCCTTCTCAGGCTCCTCTGCGTGCACCTCTTCATTCCTCAGGGCTCTGTCCTCAAGCCATCCTTTTCTCTTTCTGTGCTCTCTCTCTGGACAATGTTGACAACCACCGCCTGCGTTCTGATGAATTTCAACTCTTTCCTTCCGGACCAAGCTTCTCCTGAGCTCCAGCCCCTGCCTGTGTTTAGCTATCTCCTGGATTTCTCCACGGGCATCTCAATCCATGGGCATCTTGCCTGCTCACATCCAAACCAGCCTTACCTCTTGCCCTGGGCTGGCCCCGTGCTCCAGAACAGCTCATCGGCACTTTGCCCACATCTTCTACTGCAGAGTCTCGATTCCATCTTCCACAGCCCTCAAACACATGCTTTCTTCTCCAACCCCAGACCAGCCACCACCCTCTTTCTGCCCAGATCAACAACAGCCTCTTAACTGGTTCCCTCTCGCCAGCCTTGCCTGTCCTGCTTGTTTCACACTGCACCCAAAATTACTGTTAACATCCAAATCCGATCATGTCACTACTCCCCTGCTTGCCAGCCTTCAGTGTCACCCCATTGGATTCATTCTTAGAGCCTGATAGTCAAGGTCTTCAATCTCTCTCTTTTTTTATTGAGATGGCGTTTCACTCCTATCGCCCAGGCTGGAGTGCAGTGGCATGATTTCTGCTCACTGCAACCTCTGCCTCCCAGGTTCAAGAGATTCTCCTGCCTCAGTCCCCCAAGTAGTTGGGATTATAGGTGTGTGACACCATGCCCAGCTAATTTTTGTATTTTTAGTAGAGACAGTGTTTCACCGTGTTGGCCAGGAACTCCTGACTCAGGTGATCCGCTCACCTCAACCTCCCAAAGTGCTGGGATTAAAGGTGTGAGCCACCACACCCGGCCCTCTTCAACCTCTTTACCCTGGATTTCCCTTCTCCCCACTTCCAGCCGTGCCCCAAATACCCCAGCACATGGTTTTTCATTTGACCCCCCACATATTATGATCCCTTTCTGTCCAAAAAGACTTGATGAGAAAGACCTCATCCTTACTTTCCTCTGCTGCTTCCCCAGGCTCCCAGCTCAGAAGCAAGGAATACACAATGTGACCGGGTCAGCATGGGGAGGGGGCCGTGGATGGCCCTGGCCGAGCCCCACCCACTTCACGCTGGCCACCCACTCACCATCATGACATATGTGCTCATGAACTCGGCCAGGAACTCTCGCACCAACTTCTTCTGCAGTATTTGCTGTGTCCTTGTTATCCCAGACCAGGAGACCATTTTGGAGCTGCGGGTGGACCTGAGACAGCAGCCCGAGCCCATAGACAGAAAGAAGACTCCAGTGTCTGCCTGCTGCCCATCGGCTCTTCAGCTCACAACTGAGTTAATGGGTAACCCAGCAGCCTTGCCACACACACCTCTTCTTGCCCAGGGCAGCTGGGACAACTGGAATCAGAGACCTTGGGAGCCATGGGGACATGGAGAGGAACTGGGGTAGATGGCCAGGCCAGGCCTCTTCTTCCTTCTAGTTGGGCCTGGGCCAGTAAAAATGGCATACTAGTGAGGCCACTTTGCGGAGGGGCCGGTAGGGGGCTGACAGTGCAATCCGTGGTGGCAACAAGCCTCTGAGAAAAAGCAGGGTAGGAGGCAGCAAGCTTGAAAGTAGACCTCGGTTGTCTGTCCTGTCTGTCTGTCCGTCTGCCTGCCTACCTATCTGCTGGAGCCAGGGCTTTCAGGTCACAGGCCAGGTGAGGGCAACAGTGAGGCACTCTACAAACAGCATGAGGTGTGGCAAAGTCTGCTGCTGAGCTCTATAAACAGCACTGAGCACTGAAACATGCTCCAGGTTCTGTCAAAGACGAAGGCGTCAGCAAAATGCACCAGGCTCTGCAACCAGGTCAATGCAAACAGAGGTATGTGAGAGAGCGAGTGAATGAATGAATGAATTAATGAACAGGAGGCAGGGAAGGAGAAAAGGAAGGACTGGATCTTACTTCCTGGTGTATCTTCAGTGCCTAGCACAATGCCAGGTACACAGGAGATGTGCAATAAATATTTGTTGAATGCGTGAGAACTGGGGAGTCTGTCTTACTCTCAACTAGATCTGCAGAGCTTCCCAAAGTGCCTGGCACTTGATATATATTTAGTTAATAAATGCACGGTTAGATGGACAGGTAGGTGAAACCCTAACAGGTCCCAAATCTTCATATAAGGGGAGGTATAGGACTAGAGCTTGGGGAAGGTGGGGGGTGGGGCTGGAGAATAAAGAGAAAGAAGTGAGGTCAGGCATGGTGGCTCACGCCTGTAATCCCAGCACTTTGGGAGACTGAGGCAGGCGGATCACCTGAGGTCGGGAGTTCCAGACCAGCCAACACGATGAAACCCCGTCTCTACTGAAAAATACAAAATTAGCCAGTGTGGTGGGGCATGCCTGTAATCCCAGCTATTTTGGAGGCTTAGACAGGCAAATCAGTTGAACTTGGGATGTGGAGGTTGTTGTGAGCCAGGATCTTGCCATTGCACTCCAGGCTGGGCAACAAAATCCAAACTCCATATCAAAAAAAAGGAAGAAGAGGGACAGATACCTCTAGGTGTGGCCTTAGTGCTTGTTTAGACTAGTCACTCTGCTGTCTCACTATCTGGATGCCCAGAGGCCAACACCAGCTCCTCAACTCCTCTGGCCAGCCCATCCTTGCACATCACTTACTGCCTTGGCTGCAGGCCTTTGCACATGCCTTTCCTATGCCCAGAATGGTCCCCTGCCTCCCGGAGGCTCCTTTACCCTGCCAGCCTTCTTTTCTTGACCTAAATTTCCCTTCCTCTGGGAGAGCCTCCTGCCTCCTACCCGCTCCTCTAGGCCATTCACTTCCTCCACATGCCCACGGTGCCCACTCTTTCAGCTGTGGCAATGCTCATCACACTGCACAGTAATTGCTTAAGTAGGCCAGGCACAGTGGATCATGCCTGTTACCCCAGCACTTTGGGAGGCTGAGGCAGGCTGATCACTTGAGACCAGGAGTTCGAGACCAGCCTGGGCGATACGACAAAACCTCATCTCTACAAAAAAATACAAAAATGAGTCAGGCATGGTGGTGCATGCCTGTTTCCAGCTACTGGGGAGGCTGAGGTGAGACGATTGCTTGAGCCCAGAAGGTGGAGGTTGCAGTGAGCCGAGATCACACCACTGCACTCCAGCCTGGGTGACAGAGCAAGACCCTGTCTCCGGAAAAAAAAGCTTAATTTATTAACTGCTTTTCTTCCCAAGGGCTGGAATCATATCAGTTTCCTCACTGCACTGCCTGAACATAGTAGGCATGGTAGATTCAATACATCTTTGGTTCATTGCTGGTTGTTGCCTGCTGTGTGTCGATGAGGAAGGAGCCAGGCTTCCAGGATTCTCTCGGTGTTCTTGGCTTCCTGCTCTGTCCACCTCTCTCCTACCTCTATGGCACCTTTCCATGACTGTCTTTGGGCTGCTGCTTGCATTGGCAGGGTCTCTTTTTCAGGGCTGAGGGGGCTGGTCATGGAGTAAGGAGACCCCTGTATGATGCTGCATGGGAGCTGGAATTGGAGGGGTGCCCAGCGGATTATCCATGCAACTCTGCATTCCCCTCCATCTACTCATCCCTGGGTTTGTTTCCCTGGGGTAAGGAATAGGGCAAGGACTGGGATGGGTGAGCTATGAACAGAGGATCTCAGCTGAGAAGTGGAAGATGTTTCATTCCATGCCTGGACATCTCTTACTTCCTCTGCTTACTTTTTGCTGCCAGGAGGATTTAGGAGCTCCGAGGAATGCTGCTGCTCTCCCTAGCAGGATGAGGTGACCATCCACTGGCCCCCACCCAACTCCAGCTCCCATGCTGGAGGTAACCACAGAAGAGGGGAAAGAAGTAGACAGAGCAGAAAGCCAAGAACACCAAGAGAATCCTGGAAGCCTGGCTCCTTCCTCATCACCACCCAGCAGGCAAGGCACAGTAAGCAACAGATAACCACTGGCCAACCTAATGAACCCAAGATTTCTTAAATCTGTTATGCCAAAATGTTGAGGCAGTGCAGTAAAGGACATTGGTAGGATCCCAGCCCTTGGGGAGAAAAGCAATTAATTAAGCAATTACTATGGAGTGTGATGAGCCTTGCCACAGTTGAAAGAATGGGCACCATGTGGAGGAAGTGAATGGCCTGGGGTGGGGTAGGAGGCTCTCCCAGAGAAAGGGAAATTTAGGTCAAAAAAAGAAGGCTGGCCAGGTAAAAGGGCCTCCAGGGAGGCAGGGATCATTCTGGGCATTGGGATGGCATATGAAAAGCCTGCAGCCAAGGTAATATCCAATGTGCAGGAATGGGCTGGCCTCAGAGGAATGCAGGTGGCATGAGATGGGCAGAGAGGGGCCAGGGCCAGACGGCAGAAATCCTCCTTCCCAGATTAGGAAGTCTGAAGTCTACCATAGGCTGTGGGCCAAGTGGAGGATTTCAGCAGGAGAGCTGCCTCTCCTGTGGAGGCCAAGATGGAGGAAGTGGAGTGGAGGCAGGGTGAGCATCAGCTTCTCCACAGACGGATGGAGAGGGGGTGGCAGCCTGAGCCATGGAGATGGCGGTGCCAATGACCACAAGAGCACAGTCAAGCTGACAGGCTTGGGATTCAGTTAGAGAGGGAAGGGAGTGGGGTGGCTCAGCGATGCTCTCAGGTCCTGGTAGGGCAGCGGAATGACCAGCATGGGAACCAACTGTGGGTGAATGAACGAGGAGGCCCCTTCTGAGCATGTTGAGGGTGAAGAGCCCGCTAGAAACCTGGGGGGTATGGCCAGTGAGGAGGCAGCTGGTCGTGTGGTCTCACTTAGAGAAACATTTGGAGGTCAGCAAATCAGATGGTCATCTGAGCCATGGGCAAAGATGAGAGAGCTCAAAGAAAAGGCACAGACTAAGAAGAGGGGTCCAAGAAAGCCAGCCCACAAAGCAAGGAACTCACAGCCAGCCAGAGCCTAAGTAAGCTGCTAACAAAGAAGCTAAAAGCTCACAAATCTAACGCTTGTTATTTTCTTTCCTTCTCTCTCTTTTTTTTTTTTTCTTCTTTTTTTGAGTGTCGCCCAGGCTGGAGTGCGGTAGCACCATCGCAGCTCACTGCAGCCTAGACTTCCCAGGCGATCCTCCCACCTCAGCTTCAGATTCAAGGGTTCCTCTCACCTCAGCTTCCCAAGTAGCTGGGACTACAGGAGCACACCACCATTCTTGGCTATTTTTTTCTATTTTTTGTAGACATGGGGTTTTGCCATGTTGCCCTAGCTGGTCCCAAACTCCTGGACTCAAGCAATCCTCCTGCCTCAGCCTCCCAAAGTGCTGGGATTACAGGCGTGAACCACCCTGCCTGGTGGCTTACTAACCCTATGACTAATCTATCAACTTAACTAGCTAGCTGATTCTTCTGTTAACCAGCTATTAACCCATTTAATTATCTAATCAACCAGTCAACCATAAACTCTCTAACTAACCACAAGCCAACAATTCAACCTGCTAACCAACATTTCTTCATTCAACAAACATTTGTTGGCCAGGCATGGTGGCTCACACCTGTAATCCCAGCATTTTGGGAGGCCAAGGCAAGTGGATCACTTGAGATCAGGAGTTCAAGACCAGCCTGGCCAACATGGCGAAACCCCATTTCTACTAAAAATAAACAAAATTAGCCAGGCATGGCAGCAGGCACCTATAATCCCAGCTAGGGGGGCTGAGACATGAGAATCACTTAAACTCAGAAAGCAGAAGTTACAGTGAGCTGAGATCATGCCACCTGCACTCCAGTCTGGGCAACAGAAGAAGACTCTGTCTCAAAAAAAAAAAAAAAGTGCTGAGCATCTACTTATGAGTCAAGCACCAGGAATACAAAGTTAAAACCCACTCTCCACCCTTGGGTCACTCCGTTTAATGGAAGAGATGGGTAATGGCAACACCACTAGAGAGAAGAAGCTTGGGACTGCGGGACCTCAGGGGAGGCATGGGACGTGGGAACTGAAGGATGTTTTGCAAATGGGCAGGTGGTGGCCTAACATGGCTATGGGGATGTAGGGTAGTGGTAGAAAGAATGGTGGAAGGTAGCCAGGCGCAGTGGCTCAGGCCTGTAATCCTAGCCCTTTGGGAGGCCAAGGCAAGTGGATCACCTGAGGTCAGGTGATCTGGATCACCTGATCACTCAAGAACAGCCTGGCCAATATGGGGAAACCTCATCTCTACTAAAAATACCAGAAAAAAAGAAAAAAGGTATCGCGAGGTGGCTCACACCTATAATCCCGGCACTTTGGGAGGCTGAGGCGGGTGGATCACCTGACGTCAGGAGTTCGAGACCAGTCTGACCAACAAGGTGAAACCCTGTCTCTACTAAAAAAAACAAAAATTAACTGGGCTTGGTGGCAGGCGCCTGTAGTCCCAGCTACTTGGGAGGCTGCTTGAATCCAAGAGGTGGAGATTGCAGTGAGCCAAGATCGAGCCACTGCACTCCAGCCTGGGTAATGGGGCAAGATTTCATCTCAAAAAAAAAAAAAAAAGAAACGAAACGAAACTCAGTGTGGCTGGAGGAAGGAGAGCAGGGCCTAGAGTGGGGAGGCCAGAGAGGTAACGACTAGATAAGCAGGGCCTTGGCCATTGCAAGGACTGGTTCTTGTTCCCCCCAAAGACAGCTGAGCCTGAGAGGGTAAGAAGTGCTGAGTTCAGTTCAGCTGAAGGCCACCTGCATGCCTTGACCCTCATCCAAGTCTTTCTGAGCACCCCCTCACCTCAGGACCCAGCCCAGGCTTGGCTGCACCACAGGGATATGAGAGACGATGGAAGACCCTCTTCTTCTGGGACCTCATAGGCTAGTGGGTGGGTCGGGAGGAGGAGGTCGAGGGGGAACAGCTGCCCCAAGGGAGAGGCTGAGGAGGGGCAAGGAGGACACTGAGGTGTGCTGTGTGGAGGACAGGGGGCTGGAGTTGGGGAACAGGGTGAGGTACTTACCGCCTGTGCTTGGATGCGTGAATCATGTTTTGTCTTGCAGATTTGTGGATGCTGTGAAGCCAGAGAAAGGTCACTAGGGCTGGAAGACACAGCACGTGGCCCCCACACTTTCATCAGACCTTAGCCACAGGGGAGAAGCCTCGGGGCAGCTCCTGCTAGTGCCACTCCCTTAACCCAGCCTAGCAGTAGAGAGGGAGGAGCAGTGCTCAGCCACTGAGGAGACGCCCTGGACCACCCATGCTTGTCCCAGGACCAACCCCAGGCCAGACCCTCCAGCAGTCCTCCTCATCTTCCCTGTCTGCAACCTGGTTGGACTGTGGAGACGCCCTCAGCCTCTGCTTAGTGGCTCCAGCCTCTCATATTTGCATGCCATACATTTAGTCTAACCTTAAGCCCTCTTGCTGCTAAAGTGTGACTGTCCAGGACCTGCGCGTGCACACACACACACGATGAACACACAGAATTAGGCCCTGAAAACTCGTTTCACCTGTGCACCTCGCCTAAAAATTCTTCTTTGTAGGCTGGGCACAGTGGCTTACACCCGTAATCACAGCACTTTGGGAGGCTGAGGAGGGCAGATCACCTGAGGTCAAGAGTTCGAGACCAGCCTGACCAACATGGAGAAACCCTGTCTCTACAAAAAGTTAGCCAGGCATGCTGGCACACGTCTGCAATCCCAGCTACTCCAGAGGCTGAAGCAGAAGAATCGCTTAAACCTGGGAGACGGAGGTTGTAGTGAGCTGAGATCACACCATTGCACTCCAGCCTGGGCAAGAAGAGTGAAACTCTGTCTCAAAAAAAAAAATTTCCCTTTGTGCTCTTATCTTTCTCTCTGACAGCATGAAGGTAGCCCCAAGTCCCCTCACACTATCTGTCCTCATTCTCTAGCCCAGTTCCCTCTAGCTGCAGCACGAACTCGCATCCCCAGCCCTGATTGCAGAAATCCTCCAGCCCTGACTGCAGAAATCCTCCAGGCCCAGCCCCAGCCCTGCAGGAGGGGACTGCGTGGAAGGAACGACTCCAGCAAGCCGGCAGCTGACCCATCTCTGGCCTGCACCCCTGCTGCTGTGGTCCAGTGCTGGTGGTCTTCAGCTCTCTCCTTACCCCACCCCATGCTCTGCTGACAGCCCAGCCCAGCACATCCCTGCCATCTCTGCCCCACTGCTGGTCCTCCCAACAGCCAACTTACAGGTAAGGAAACTGAAGGCGAGAGAGAGGGTCTGTGTGCCTGTGTCACACAGCAACACAGGACTGCAACAGAACAAGAAAGCCAGGCCTTTCACTCCCAGCGGGGGCTCCTTCCCCTGACAGTCCCACAGTCCCCTCCTCCCTGTATGGTACCCAGGGAGTGGCCCTTCCAGGTCTGGGCACTGATAAGGCCAGCCCAACCCCACCCTGCCTGGAGCCCCACTCACTCTGCTGAAATATCTTCTGATTCTCAGCTTCTGCCTTGGGGGCTTCTCAGTTAAAGTGCATCTAATCTTGTTCCTCCATGACAGTCCCTGGCTCAGCTTCCACCCTCAGCTGGGGCTTGGCTGTCCCTGTGTCCCCAGTCCAGAGCCCGCCTCTCAGCCCTCCCAGGGCAGCCTCGAGCGCTGCTCCTGCTCCTCCAGGGGAGAGGTCAGTAAGGCAGGGGTTTGGCTGTTGCCGCTTGAGCCAAGTCCAGATGCACCGCCCAAAATAGCATCCCTCTTCCTGCCAGCGGTGCCATGGAGACCGAGTTCTGAAGCAGCCCTTGTGAGGTCAGAGGTGGAGCTCCAGGTGGGCACTCTGGGCCTCACAGTCCCAGAGGAAAGGCCTGTCCTCCAAGCCAATGCGCAGCCTCGTGGAGATTCACTCAGGGTGGCTGGCAAAATATTAGGGAAAGCTATAGGTTAAGTCTCAAACCTTTTGGAAGGTCAAAAGGTTTTATTGGGACAGGTTGAAGGCAGCCGGTCCATAACGTTAGGGAAGAGATAGGGACTATAAGAGGCTTTCCCAGTTTAAGTCTGTTTAGCTCACATCCCTTTGTCTCTACTGTAACTGTGTACTCATATAAACTTTGTGCTGGATAACCCTCTCAGGGGGAGATCAAAGGGGAATTACCCGTTCATAGTGTTTGCTCTAGGCCCAGAACCTAAAGCTTTTATCATTCGTAAAACCACTCTTTTAGCCATGTTAATTATCCACCAGCGTGTTGACGTAGAAGCTCTGTTATGAAATCTATTACTGAATAAAGGTGTGAGTGTGCAGGGAGTCTTGGCCAATTGGCTGCATCTTACCCTCCGAAAGTGGCGACAATCATCCCTAGCCCACTTGAATCACTGAACCAGGTGTGAGTGATTCATTCCTCCACCGTTGAGTCAGCATCCGCACGACAGACCTCTGCAGGTGGTGGTGATCAACGTCTGGCAGCCTGACCCAGGCTGGCGCCTAAGGAAGCCCTCCCGGACCCCCACCGTGGAGGAGGCTGCAGAGGCCTCTGAGCCCCCAGTGATGGGGAGAACTGCATAGAATGGGACTGCAGGTAGAAGTGTTGGAGATCAACAGCCAGGGGGAGGTGGGGAGGGGGCCCTGGGCCAGTCCTCAGGGAGCCCCCATTCTGAAGGGGGAAAGGGAGACTCAGGCCCAGTTCTCAGGGGCCCCTGGTTTGAGAGGAAGGAGGACACACGAGCAGAGAAACACCAGTCTCAGAGAGGAGGTAGAAGCCCAGGCCAAGTCCTCTGAGGGCCTGTAGTCTGAGGAGCAGGGGGTGGGGGGAAACCTAGACCCTGTCCTCGGGAAAACCCCTCCCTTAGGAAAGGCCAGCAAGGCCCCGGGGAAGGAGCCGGAGCTCGTCCAGGGCGTGGGGCTTGGGCTCAGCAGCCTGGGAGCTTCGGGACCGAGGTGGGCTCAGGAGACAGCCTGGGGACTTTTGGGGCCAAGACCTGACTGGGCCTCAAACAATAGGCAGGCAGTTTGGATTTTCAGCAGGTGAACCAGTGCTGACACACAAGGGAGGGGTTTCGGGTGTGCAGACTCTAAGGACACTTGCTACATAGCATGCTGGACGGTGGGTAAGTCCTAGGAACTTCTGGGGCCCGGCTCCATTGGTGGGAGAGGGCAGAGAATTCAGTTGTCCAAAGCCCAGGTCTGGGAATGGAACTGTCCTGTAGAGGGTGCCAAAGGCTGAACCAGGTCGGGAACCTGCATAGCCCCAGTCCCCACCCCCACCCCTTCCAGCTTTTTCTGCAGGGAAAGGAAAGGGCTGGCTGCGGCAGTCAGAAGCCCTCCGTAAGGCACTAGCTACCCTCTGCAGATTCTTTTTCTTTTCTTTTCTTTTTTTTTTTTTTCTTTGAGACAGTGTCTTGCTCTGTTGCCCAGGCTGGAGTGCAGTGGCTCAGTCTTGGTTCATGGCAACCTCCGCCTCTCAGGTTCAAGTGATTCTCCTGCCTTAGCCTCCTGAGTAGCTGGGATTACAAGCATGCACCAACAAGCCCAGCTAACTCTTTTGTATTTTTAGTAGAGACGGGGTATCACCATGTTGGTCAGGCTGGTCTCCACCTCCTGACCTCAGGTAACCCACTCGTCTCAGCCTCCCAAAGTGCGGGGATTACAGGCGTGAGCCACTGCACCCAGCCTCCCTCTGCAGATTGTAAGTGTGCTTGGAACTCAGCGTCTCTTCCTCAGGAAGGGAGGGATGCACGCCTGGAAATGGGGGAGCCCTGCCTTTATTCCTTTCCCATGTGTGCTCCCAGGGTCGGGGATGAGGTAATGTTAGAAGTGGAGCTGAAGTCTTGAATGAGGCCAGCCCTTGGGCGGAGTTGGATTGGGCTGGTGTCAGGTTGGTAAGGGAGGGAATTGAAATCCACATTGGGGTCAGAGATCAGACCCTGAGCTCATTAGAGGGCTTGACCCTGGGGACGAGAAGTGGAGAAGACACAGTCCCATCTGTCTCACAGCAGAGACAGGTAAGCAGCAGGTGACTTAAGACACACTGGAGAAGCTGGAAGGAATACAGGCAGAGCTAGCCCAAGCTGAAGGGGGACAAGGGTCTTCTGGAAGAGGTGACATAGGAAGTGAGTTTTCCAAAACGAGCAGGGGGAGGAAGGGCACCATGACATGTGAAGCCTGATGGGACCGTGAGAAAACCTAGGAGCTGTGAGTGGCCTGCAGAGAGCTGCGGAAGTGGGCAGGGATAGACCATGAAGGGCTTTGTCTGCCAGGCCAAGGAGTTCAGACTTTAACTGAGGGCCTGAGGAGCTTTCGAAGGGTTCTAAGCAAAGAGGAGAGCAACAGGATCAACCTGAGATCTCTGAGGCCCCAGGGCATCCAGCGCGAAAGGGCACAGTTAGGCCTGGGGCTCGGGAGAGGGGTCTAGCTGGAGAATGAGAAGAGGAGATACCAGCCCCTGGGCATTCAGCACTAGAGTCGACGGGGCTGCCCAAGAAGCAGAGGGTGTGAGGCAAGGGTGAGGGCCAGGATTCTGGGGAACAGGGATGATGAAGAAGGAGCAGATGGGGAGGGAGCTGGAAACCTAGACTCGGGGCTCCCCAGAGGCTGACAGGAGCCAGTAGGGGCTGTTGCCCCAGATTTGGGTGCTGGGAGGGGCTGGCCAGGCAGGTGTTTGCAGAGGGCTGTCTGGATGAGCTGGTGGGATAGAGGGTGCCAACAACGCTGAAGAAGCAGAGGCTGAAGAGGCAGAAAATTCAACTGCAGAGAGAAGAGAGGCAGCTACAGGGGCCACCGAGGCGGGAGTTTGGGTCAGAGCTGTGAAGCATGTGAGTCTGCATAGAGCCTGGGGGAGGAGGTCTCTGGATCTCTGGGTCAGTGGAGATAGTGGGGGCGGGGCAGAGAGGGGACACCTGGGGTCCTTTCTTCATAGGATGGGCTTGAGTAGAGTTACCAGATAAAGTATAAGATGCCCAATTAAATTTGAATTTCAGAGAAACAATATTTTAGACAATTATACCTGGTACACCTTTAGTCTAACCTCAAGCCCTCTTGATGCTTAAACTGTGACTGTCCAGGACCTACATACACACACAGACACACACACACACACCGTTTTATTTTTAGCAAATAAAAAGCCA